CAGCCAGCAAAGGCCTCATCACCTCACAGCGGGCGCCTCCAACCCCACAGCCAGCAAAGGCCTCATCACCTCACAGCCGGCGCCTCTAGCCCCACAGCCAGCAGAGGCCTCACCTCACAGCCGATGGTTCCAATCTCACAGCCCGCGGTTCCAATCCCACAACCGGCGGCCCCACCTCACAGCCGGCGGCTCCAACCCCACAGTCAGCAGAGGCCTCACCTCACAGCCGGCGCCTCCAACCCCACAGCCAGCAGCTCCACCTCACAGCCAGCGGCTCAGGGCCCAGGGCCACAGGGAGGGTGCCCCATGCAGCACCTCCTGCTGGGCTCTGCCCCTACCGCCGTCCTCTGGAGATGGCCCAAGGCTGGTGCCCGTGACTCAGTGGCCCACTCCCGCATCTCCTGCGGTCCCAGGGCAGGTCCCACTGGTGTGTGGCCGGCCTCGCAGGAACCACTTCACTCTCCACCATTCACTACTCCCACAGGCAACAGAAGCAGCCCCCTGGCCCCTCGGTAGGTGCACCAGCTTGGTGGCCCTGGCGGCCCCCTGCCCCTCAGAGGCCGGCCAGCCTCCAGCACCCTCCCTGAGTCCTCAGCCCCTTGGAGGCTGCCATGGCACCCGAACCCCCCGGCTCCAGGCACAGCTCCAGAGGTTGGGTGGGTGGGGGCTGCATCCCGGGCTCCACATGTGGGTGGGCAGTGCTGCAGCCCCTCCTGAGTAGCCCTCAGCAAGCAGGGCTGCAGGGTGGGCTCCATGCAAAATCACCGTCACAGCCCCAGGGCCATCAGCAGGCAGAGGTGCAAAACGTGGTCATGGCCCGCAGCCCTGGGATGCCCCGCCCCAGGACCCCCCACCCTTGGAGAACCCCAGCCCCAGGATGCCCACACCTCAGCCTCCCAAGTAGTTGGGACTACAAGGATGCACTACCACACCCAGCCAATTTTTTTTTTTTTTTTTTTTTTTTTTTTTTGTAGAGTGGTCTCATCGTGTTGCCCAGGCCAGTTTCGAACTCCTGGCCTCAAGCCATCCTTCTGCTCGACCTCCCATGGTGCTGGGATTGCAGGAGTGAGCCCCACGCCTGGCCATGTGCTTTGTTGAGTTGCTGACTTTGCCTTTGCTATGGGGATCTGGGTTGGGGTCCTGTGGCTCACGTGCGAATAGAGGATCATGGGGTAGTTCCTGGCACCCTCCCCCAAAGGAGGCTCACACAGGCCAGGACCGCCCCCTCTGGCTGCCCCATCCCTGCCCCCGACATGCCCTTTTGCCTTCTCCTCTGTGAACCACAAAGCACATTGACGGGGTGCCTGGTGCTCCCCTCAGTCAGGGCTCATGGGGGAGGCCCTTCTTTAACGTCTCTTACTGGGCACACCCGGAGGCCACATGTTCCAGGGTCAGAGAGACCAGGAGAAATCCCAGCTTCTTCACTCATGGCTGTGCATCTTCAAGAAGGTGACTGTGCCTCTCTGAACCTCAGCCTCCTCTATCTGACAGCACAAGGGTCTGCAAGTCTCTAGGGGCCATGTGAGCTCCATGGGGACCTCTCATCTCTGCTGTGAAAGCAGCTAGGGGAAGTGCACGTGAGCTGTGTGGCCTCATACCGACCAAGACCCTGGGGGTCACACCAGGCAGCACTGAGAAGCAGAGCAGAGGCCACCACGGTGACCAGGGTTGCTGCTGAGACGCAGGGCAGAGGCCGCCATGGTGACCAGGGTTGCTGCTGAGACGCAGGGCAGAGGCCGCCATGGTGACCAGGGTTGCTGCTGAGACGCAGGGCAGAGGCTGCCATGGTGACCACGGTTGCTGGCGAGACACAGGGCAGAGGCCGCTGCAGTGACCAGGGTTGCTGCTGAGACACAAGGCAGAGGCCGCCACGGTGACCAGGGTTGCTGGCGAGACGCAGGGCAGAGGCCGCCACGGTGACCAGGGTTGCTGCCTGCCTGCCACACACCCCACTTGGGCCTCTGGCTGTCTCTTCTCCTGCAGAAACCCCATGGGCAGGTGTGCAGCCAGCGCGGAGGGAAGACGTGTGTGCCAGCAGAGAGAGCACGAGGCCTGGAGTTCTCATCTGTGCCACCAGAAGCAGGGGACAGTGAAACGTCATCTACAATCACCAGGGAGACGGCTGCATCCCAGGCATCCCACACCAGCCCAGAAATGTCACCGGTAAGCGCAACAGCAGACACTAGAAGATATGTCATCCCTATGCATTATCCAGAGAAAGTACTGGAAGGAAGCCAGCCACTGCCCATGAGTCGGAGCAGAGGACACCCCCCTGACATCAAGGTGAGGCCAAGGGGAGAGGAAGCGGGGCTGAGTGGGGCCTGTGACGTCAGCACATGAGGGTGGGCACACCGGGGAGGGGGGGACGATGACCGAGATAGAGGACATAAACCTCCATGAGCCAAACAACATGGGAGCTAAACTCAGAAAGCCAACTGGAAGGGGATGCGATGAAGGGACTTGAGGGTCACAGGAGCTCCCTCCATGTCTCTCTCTCCATAATTAGGTCTAGTGGCAACAGAAAAATGCAGACAGATCGATATGGATGGTCATGCTCATGTTCCTCACAGGAAACGGTGCTTCTGAACGTTCCTCACAGGAAACAGAGCTTCTAAACATTCCAGCTTCCGATAAGTCCATGTCTGTTGTGTATTGGCTGCAAAGAAAACCTCAAGGAACTAAAAAGTAGAATAATTTAAATGATCCTATTATCCAAATATTGTAAAATAAATAACGGAAAGTGCTACCTCTTCCCCCTAAAACTTAGAAACCAACACACTCCCAGGTAGCCCTTGGGTAAAACAGGATATTAAATCTGAATGTGCGCTCTCTGAAAAGCCAAGAAACCATAAATATTGATCCAGCGCTGAGGACTCAGCTAATGCAGCGTCCAGAGCCCCCAGCACAGCTCTTGTTTTTTAGAGGAAAAAATAAACGGGAGGGAATTTGTGCCATCCTAAGAAACTAAAATGAGAACAAGAAAGTGTATTTTAAAAAGTAGGGAGAATTATGAAGATAAAGCCAGAAATTAATGAAGTAGAAAACAAATAAGTAAAGAGGAGAAATGATTGTTTTTCTGAAATAAATAAAATAAAATCCCCTTGCCCAGCCCAAAAGCTGCATCAAGAAATGACTGCCTAGGCTGGGCACGGTGGCTCATGCCTATAATGCCCACACTTTGGGAAGCAGAGGTGGGCGGATCGCTTGAGGCCTGGAGTTTGAGACCATCCTGGCCAATACGGTGAAACCCTGTATTTGCAAAAATACACAAACTAGCCGGGCGTGGTGGTGTGCGCCTATAGTCCCAGCTACTTGGGAGGCTAAGGCAGAACAATTGCTTGAATCTGGGAGGCAGAGGCTGCAGTGAACTGACATAGTGACCCTGCACTCCAGCCTGGGTGATAAAATGAGACTCTGTTTCCAAAAGAAAAAAAAAACCACAAAAATGAAAACTAAATAAATAAGTGACTATATTTAGAATTTACGTACATTGAAATAGAAAAACCCACACACGATTAGGAAGAAGGAGACCCCAGTATGGAAGAGGCTGGAGAAATGAGACAGCCCACTCGGCCGGGGCAGCTGCTTGGAAACCTGCAGCAGCAGACCATGTTGTCCTGGGTGTAAAGTCCAGAATGACTCTGGACAAGCGGCACCACGCGGAGATGAGCACAAGGAGCTGGAGAGGGCGACAGCTGAGCCAGGAAAGGAGGCTCCAGGAGCAGATGTCCGCAGCTGACGATGACCTCACCTTCCATGGAAAGAAAGTCATCCCAGGGTTACTTTAACCTTCCCAAGACATGAAAGGATGGAAAACTCTGTAATTCATCTCATGAAACCAGGATACTTTAATTCAAAAACCTGATGTGGAACAAAAAGAGAAAACCATAGACAAATATCACTTTCAGAAGATGCAAAAAAATCTAACAGAATAGCAAATAGGACTCAACGCCGCGTCAGCAGATTCTACACAGGTGAAGAGCAAATAGGACCCAACACAGCTTCCATGGCATCATGTATGGCCAAGCAGATGAAGGCCAGGCTTACGAGGGCAGCCCAGCAATCAGAGACATCATTTCATTAGCCAATTAGCACAGAAAATTCAGAGAACCCCATCGACAGGTACTGAAAAGAAAATTGACCAAATTCAGCAATCGTTATGAATAAAAGCTCTATTTCTAGTAAAATAGAAAAAAGTGCAAAAGTCTGTGTCCACAATGGCCAAGATCATTGTATGTGGAAACACAAATGTCACAAATCCAGGGTCGACTCGTGGGGCCTGCTGCTGTAACAATTGTCCAGCATTTTCTAGGAGGTTCCAGCAAACTTAATAAGAAAACCAAATAAATGGCACAAACATCAGAAAAAATAAGACAGGGCCGGGCGCGGTGGCTCAAGCCTGTAATCCCAGCACTTTGGGAGGCCGAGACGGGCGGATCACGAGGTCAGGAGATCGAGACCATCCTGGCTAACACGGTGAAACCCCGTCTCTACTAAAAAATACAAAAAACTAGCCGGGCGAGGTGGTGGGCGCCTGTAGTCCCAGCTACTCGGGAGGCTGAGGCAGGAGAATGGCGTAAACCCGGGAGGCGGGACTTGCAGTGAGCTGAGATCTGGCCACTGTACTCCAGCCTGGGCGACAGAGTGAGACTCTGTCTCAAAAAAAAAAAAAAGAAAAAAAAGAAAAAATAAGACAATTTATTTTGTTGATGACATGATTGTAAACCTAGTTATGCCTCTGCCCCCTCATTTAAAAATTAAAAATCAGGCCGGGTGCGGTGACTCACGCCTGTAATCCCAACACTTTGGGAGGCCAAGGTGGGCGGATCACCTGAGGTCAGGAGTTCGAGACCAGCCTGACCAACATAGTGAAATCCTGTCTCTACTAAAAACACAAAATTAGCTGGGCATGGTGGTGCATGCCTGTAATCCCAGCTACTTGGGGGGCTGAGGCACGAGAATCGCTTGAACCCATGGGTGGAGGTTGCAGTGAGCCGAAATCGCACCACTGCACTGCAGCCTAGGCCAGAAGACTGAAACTCCATCTCAAAAAAAATTAAAATTAAAAATCAGTAAAAAACATTTAATACAAGATGAATATACAAAAATTAGTAACTTCTCACTCCTCTAGCAATAATCACTTGGGAATTAAAGAAAAAAAGCCAAAATATTCCATTTGCCATGGCAACTGAGTAGTTGGGGTGAAGGTTAGGATGCTGTAAGGAGCAGCTCCTGGCATGGGGAACTCGATGGAGGCATCATTTCTTTCTCACATGGTGGCTGAGAACGGCTGGGTGGGCTGCTCTGTCACCACACATGGGGTCCCGCAATCATGCCTCTCCTCTAGCCTTCCAGGCATCTTTCCTGGCTGCAAGGTTCCAATGGGTGCAGAAATGCCCACGTCCAGCTGGCAGGAGGGGCCTGGGCAGGGGCAGGAGGGTAGAGGCCATGTTTTCCAAGACCACATGTGAGACATGGCCCATGTTGCCACGTGCGTTCCGTGGTTAGCCATTGGTCAGGGCCTGGCCTGGCTGGAAGATGGGCTTGCTGCGGCAGGGACAGGCAACGCCATCGCAGGAGAAGGGGCCGGAGCTGGCAGGAACAGTGTCTCCAGGTGATAAAAGCCTCCGACAATTTTGCAAGACAGGTGGGGGTGGGTGTGAGAGGACGCAGGGCCCCCACCGCTCAAGCAAGGAGATCAGGGAGCAGAGCCACGGCGAAGGCCCAGCCGGGAGCCTCTCCTGCCAACCTGAAGCCCAGCCTCCAGGTTCCATGAAATCACCTCCAGCTATCCCAGGAGAAAGGTGCACGGCCTAGGAAAGAAAAAACAGGCAGCTTGGACCCAGGCTCCAATCCTGGCCACCAGTTACCAGACAGGGGCAGCCACATCGCGTCTGTGTGCCTCAGTTTCTACATCTGCGGCTGCAGTGATGGTTGTGCCCGCCCAGAGGGGCTGCTGTGAGTTAAGGGGTGAGAGACAGAGACGCTTCCCTGTCCACTGTCTCCAACACATTCTTCCTGGTCACCCCTCACTGAACACCCCAGAGACCAGGCAGGCGCCACGGACAGTTGAGAAGGCATCCAGCCTGCGGAACGGAGTCCAGGACCCAGAGAAGCTTCAGGGGTGAGCAGGGTGGGTCGGGGCCGGGGCGTAAATGACAGGGGGAGCACGCGGAGGGAGGAGGGAGCTTCAGGACAGGAGGTGCAGGCTGAGTGAGGATGGCTGAGTGGCCCTTGTGTCAGAGCAGGCGAGGCTCAGTGGAGGCAGGGGCAGGCTTGGCCTCTGCGCTTCTGCCTCCAGGATGTTATGGATTTGGCAGGGAACGCGTAAACCATGAGCTCACCCCGCGGGAACGTGGTTTCCTCTGGCTGCCCCCACAACAGCTGTTCCCCATCAGCACCGGCCCCATCTCCCTAGCAGGAAGCCGGGCAGCCACTGCAGGCCAGGTGTGGACGCCCCTCACACCCTCCCATCTGCGCGGACACCACTGGACAGGGTGGTAAGGGGGAGGGGAGCAGCGAGGAGAGGGTTGGGTGCGGCCCCCTGTCTCTGGCCCCCTCTGGTCCCTACTTTTGCTGTGACCATATGGAGGAAGCCAGCTCCCGGAGGCGGGGCCAAGCCTTCAGGGTCCTCAGTGCCACCAACCAGGCCTGACCCCGACTGCTGACTGAGCCCCACGTGGTTCCTCTGCCCTGGACATGCACACCCCGGTGCCCTCCTGGCTCTGCTGCAGCAGACCTGTGTGCCAGGGCCTTCTAGACGGTTCTGGCCCCTCCTGTGTGGACTATTCCCACCATACGTGGTCTGGGCTGAGGCTTCCTGGCCCTTCCCCTCTCACCCTGACGAGCTTGGCCTGGGGGGCCCATGAATGTGCCCTGCCCACATGGCCCTCTGTGGTCACCCACAGCCAGCAGGACCCAGATTCCTTGCAGGCCAAATGCAGGTGCCCCAACTCCTCCAGCCCCTCCCCCCGCAGTATGTGGCCAGTGACAAAGGGGATGAATTTGGCCCTGTGCCATGCTGGGGCCTGCCCTGAGTGTCCCGGTTGTGAGTCCCCAGCTCACTGGCTTCAGGCACTGCCAAGCCCCTTGCTCTCTTCCCTGAAGAGGGTGTGGGTTTCTCCAGGCCAGGCCTGTGGTCAGCAATGCAGGCAGGTGTTTGTGACCAGGGCATCTGTGCTATCAGGCACAGGAATAGCCCCCAAACCACGCAGGGAGGGAGAAGGCCCTGAGAGAGAAGGTGCAGTTACACACATGTGACCACAGAGAAGGCTGCTTTCACCCCGTCTGCACCCTGGGAGCGCCTGCCGCACTAAGGACCCAGCGCAGTTTCTGGTTTTCTGGTGCTGCCGCCTTTTTTTTTTTTTTTTTTTTTTGAGACAGAGTCTTGCTCTGTCGCCCAGGCTGGAGTGCAGTGGCCGGATCTCGGCTCACTGCAAGCTCTACCTCCTGGGTTCAGGCCATTCTCCTGCCTCAGCCTCCCAAGTAGCTGGGACTACAGGCGCCCGCCACCACGCCTGGCTAATTTTTTGTATTTTTAGTAGAGACGGGGTTTCACTGTGTTAGCCAGGATGGTCTCGATCTCATGACCTTGTGATCCACCAGCCTCAGCCTCCCAAAGTGCTGAGATTACAGGTGTGAGCCACCACGCCCAGCCGGTGCTGCCTTCTTGGGGCGTGGCCTCCACAGTGCTTCACCTGGTTCCTGCAAAACAGCTTCGTTGAGATGAAATTCACATGCACACAAGTCACCCTTTACAGTGTACAATTCAGTGGTTTTTAGTATATTCACGAAGTTGTGCAACCATTCCCACTCATCTCATTCCGGAACACGTTTATCATCTGCAGAAGACGTCCTGTGCCTGTTAGCAGCCGCTCCCCGCCACGGTTTGAGTGCAGCCACAACAGAACGCCAGACAGCAGTTTATCAACAGAGACTTCCTGCCTCCCAGTCTGGAGGCCAAGGTCCCAGCAGGGCCATGTCGGGTTCTCCTCTTCCACAACGATCCCTCGCATGCGGCATCCTCACCGGCTGGAGGGTGGGCCTGCCCCACAAGCCCTTTTCATAGTGGCTTTAGTCACAAGGGCTCTGCCTCGTGAGTGGATCAGACACCTCCCATCAGGCCCCACCTCCTGGCACTGCCCGGGGTCTAAGTTTCCGCCTGAGCTTTAGAGGATGCAAGCATTCCAACCACAGCACTGCATGGGAGGCCCAGTACTCCCCCCTGTCACATACAAAATCGTATGAGTCAGCGTTCTCTAGAGGGACAGGACTCATAGGAGACATGAACAGGGGATGATCTTGGACTCCCTGCTCACCTTCCAGACACATGGGGGCAGGCCTGGGCCCCCACGGCTTTGCTGGGCTCAGCCCACTCAGGGCGCGGAGGTTGGAGTCTCCTGCCTGCCGCTCTCCCAGGCTGCGCTTGGTCACTGGTGGCCCTGCGGTCCTGGGGTCTCGGAGGCAGCCCCCACCCCCTTGCCTCGGCTCCACTGGGCATTGCCCCGCTGGGGATTCCGAGGCAGCTCCGCCCCAATGATGAGCCTCTGCCTGGGCCTCAAGACTGTCAGCAACATCCTTTGAAATCTGGGTGGAGGCCACCGTTGCCTGCAGGGTCAGACGGTGTGGATGCCACCAAGCCCACCGCATGCGCCTTCAGGAGCAACAGGTGGAGCTGTGCCTGCGCCTGCCTGAGCCATGGCGGGGGCAGCCAAGGAGGGCTGGGCCAGGATCTGGGGAGACCCAGGCAGGCAGTGAGCTCTGTGGTCCCAAAGGTGCCCCAGAGGCCCATCCCTTGCCATGATTCTGCCCTCAGGGCCCTTATAAAAGGGCTGGAAGGAACTAGCTTCGCTGTTTTTCCTCCGAGTTCTGCCATGTGAGGCTGGATATGCCATCGGAGCTGCCCTCAGCAGACCCCAGCCTGCCGGTGCCTGGATTCTTGGACTCCCCAGCTGGAGAACTATAGGAAATAAATTTCTGTTGCTTATAAATTACCCAGTCTGAGGTGTTTTGTTACAGCAGTGGGGATGGACTAAGACCCTTCCTGTTTTCCCCCAGCTACGCCCTCGCCCCCAGCCCCAGGCAGCCGGGAGTCTACTCTGTGTCACCGTGGACCTGCCCATTCCAGACATTTGACATAAATGGTCTCATGTGATACGTGGCCGTCCACGTCTGACCTTCACTTAGCAAATGTTTGCGAGGTTCATCCACTTTGGAGCATGGGCCAGAGCTTCGTTCCTTTTTACGGGTGAAGAACAGTGTGGGGCTAGGCCACAATGTGCCCATCTGTCCCTCAGCCAATGAACATGTAGGCTGTGCCCACCTTGGGGCTATTGTGAATAATGCTACTAGGAACATCTGTGGATAAGCTTTCGTGTGGACACGTGTCTGATTCTCGGGGACGTGTTCCCAGGAGTGGGACTGCTGGGTCACATGGAATTCGGCTTCACACTTTGAAGAACAGAACAGCCACGTGTGAGGTTCCCGTGTCTCTGCCGTGATACCTGTGATGCTTTCGGTTCCAGCCATCCCAGTGGGTGTGAGGTGCGGTCTCATGTGGTTTTTATTTGCATTTTCCTGGTGGCTAATGGTGTTAAGCAGCTTGTCATGAGCTCGTTGGCTAGTGGCATACATTATTTGAAAAAAACATCTATTCAAATTCTTTTTTTTTTTTTTTTTTTTGAGTTAGAGTCTTGCTGTGTCACCCAGGCTGGAGTGCAGTGGCACGATCTTGGCTCACTGCAACCTCTGCCCCCCAGGTTCAAGCACTTCTCTTGCCTCTGCTTCCTGAGTAGCTGGGATTACAGGCGTGCACCACCACACCCAGCTAATTTTTGTATTTGTAGTAGAGATGTGGTTTCACCATGTTGGCCAGGCGGGTCTCAAACTCCTGACCTCAAATGAGCCACCCAGCTTGGCCTCCCAAAGTGCTGGGATTACAGGCGTGAGCCACCATGCCCGGCCTCCTTTGCCCATTTTTAAACTCAGTTGTTTATCTTTGCATTGCTGAACTGTAAGAGTTCTTTAGCACATTGGTTTTTCACTACCTCACCCTGGAGCCGATGCACATCCCTTCTGCTCAGTCATTAGCCAGAAATGCAGAGAAATGCTACTGTATGACCCCATGACCTCAGCCTGATGTGCAGGAGTCCCCAGAACATTAGACGGGCCCCGACTGTCTGCAGGATACAGACCCGGGAGGGGGCTTTGCACTGTTGATCTGACCACAGCCCCTCACTGATTCAAAAACGTCCCCTTTAGCATGTCTGTAATGCCAGTGTGTTCCCCGTTCATCTTGTTACTGGGACCGCCCCACGTACCAGCTGCACACAGGGCTGACCAGGTGCAGCCTCCGGTGTGTGTTAAAGCCTGGTGGCAACAGTTCTCTTGTGGATCTTTTGGTCCCGAATTTCCTTAGTTTTCTTACTTATTTTTCCACGTTAACTTCACAATCGATGTACCTGGTTCCAGGGTTCTCTGGTGTTTTAATTGGCCCCCCCATGGCAGCCGACAAGCATAGGGGATGGCGCCTCGTGATGCCCAGGACAGACTGGGCTTGTTGCTGGTCTGGTCCTCGATCAGGCCTCAGACCCTCTATAACAGGTATAGATCTGCCCGCTGTTTGCTCCTAGAAATTTACAATTTTTGTTGCTGTTGAGAATGGTGCCTTCTCTTTCTTCGTCTCTCCTAACCGGAAGTGCTTGAATTTGAAAGATGCTGATTCTTGACTCTGAATTTTGTGCACAGCCACCCTCCTAAACTCACCTCTGCCTTCGAATCAATTTTCCAAATCTATGAGGAGTTGCAGCAGGCTGTGCTCAGGTGCAGAGCCTCCCTCCAGCCGTGTGCGTGCAGCTCCTCCTGGGGCTCTTGGCTGTGAGGCCTGGCCTGTCCCTGTGGCCGAGGCTGTCCCCTCCCTGTGCCCTCGCCACGCCCTCCCCGTAATGCTGCCCGGACTCTGCACAGGGCAGGGCCCTGGGGGCACATGGAGAGGAACTGGCTGTGGGTGGAGACAGCACCCAGCTGAGGTCCTGGGAAAGAGGCCATGCCCGGGGTTCCTGGACACAGGAGGTGGGGCTGGCTGAGGCTCGATGCCTGCGCTGGGCATGGAGGAGGCACCTTCGAGCTGGGGCCTCCTCAGAGCAGCTGCATCGGGGGGCAAACCCTGTCCCTCGGTTTCCGTGTTCACATCTTTACTAGAACTGCAGCTGGCACCCGTGGAGCTGTGGGCTTTGTCCAGGGAGAGTCATGCCCAGCACCTGGGGGGCCCTGCAGGGGTGCTGGACTCAGGGTTAAAAACGAGGATCCTGGCCTCCTGCAACCCTGTCCCCAGAGGCCCCATTGGAGCCACCTGGCCCTCCCTGCCGCCAGCCCAAGCATCCAAGGCTTTTGCCAGCAGTGCCTGTGGCAGCCTCGAGGAGGGTGGAGGCCCAGGGAGGGGCATCATTTGGTGTTTATTTATTTTTTTTTTTGAGAAGGAGTCTGGCTCTGTCGCCCAGGCTGGAGTGAGTGGCGCCATCTCGGCTCACTGCAAGCTCTGCCTCCTGGGTTCCTGCCATTCTCCTGCCTCCGCCTCCCGAGTAGCTGGGACTACAGGCACCCGCCACCTCGCCCGGCTAGTATTTTGTATTTTTTAGTAGAGATGGGGTTTCACCGTGTTAGCCAGGATGGTCTCGATCTCCTGACCTCGTGATCCACCCGTCTCGGCCTCCCAAAGTGCTGAGATTACAGGCTTGAGCCACCGCACCCGGCCCATTTGGTGTTGATCAGGGGAGATGCCGGCGTCTCCACAGCCCCAGGGCCTCCAGGCTCGCCCAGGCTCCCTCACTCAGACGCCCCACCCACAAACACCTGCCCAGGTCCCACCAGGGGCCCCTCTCACCCCTGAAGCTGTGCAGGCCCTCGGCCAACAAACCAGGACCCTCAGCTTGGATGGGCAGGAAGGTCCAGGAGGGGCCCTTGAGACCTCCTTCCTTGGGCCTGGGGATTGGGGCCGCAGGAAGCCATGCTCCACCCCGATGCCCACCCCTAGCTCCCCTGGCTGCCTCCTGGCCTCTGTCTCCCTCCAGGCCCCCACCCTGACTAGGGAGTTGGGGGGTAGGGGTGGAGCTTTGGGAGACCACGCCCAGTCTGGTGGGGAGCAGAGTTTTGGGGAGGAGACCACGCCCAGTCTGG